CCCCAAAACCCCAAAACCCCAAAACCCCAAAACCCCTAGCGACTTACAATCAATTAGTATTTCAATAATTTATTAAAATGACGACAAAGGAAAAAGAATACTTTACCATGAAAGATGAGCCAGAGGAGTCAGACCTCTCCTCATCTATCCTAGAGAAGAAAGATATAGGGAAGCCAGCGATTCAGGATTTTAAACTATACAAGATCAGGTGGCCCATTGTCCTATTTTTCAGTTCCTCTATGATCGCTGGCGGGTTAGCTCAGATTGGTCTGAGTCCGATAATGTCTATCATTAAGGAGATATATGGAAAAGATGGGATCATCATTTCCTTATTGGTATTGCCCTTTACTATATTCTTTATTCCATTAATGTATCCAGCTAATTACCTCATTGAGAAATATGGAATTACGATCCCTATCTATATTGCATGCATAACTCTTGTTATTGGCGCATGGATAAGGATGCTTGTCAACACAAGCTTCTACTTCCTCCTAGCAGGTCAATGAGTCATGGCATTTGGACAGCCTTTTGTGATTTCTTCTCCCGCAAAGGTTGCTGGAGTCTGGTTTGGAGACAAGGAGAGAGCTTTAGCAACAACACTTGGATCTCTTGCAGGGCCTTTCGGAGCTGTTATAGGATATCTCTTGCCCTTACCACTTATTTCAGACTCAGATACAGATCCTAAAAGTCTCGGAAGATCTAGAATGTCGAGATATATCCTAATTCAGAGTATTATCATCACAGCTTTAACTCTCCCAGTATTGATATTCATTAGAAATCGGCCTCCGACACCTCCAAGTGCTTCTGCTGCAAACTCAATTAAGAAGAAGTCAGATGGATTGATCAAGAACTCCTTCAGACTTCTAAAAAATTTGAATTTCCTTTTGCTAATGGTGGGTTTTTCATCAGTGTATTCCATCTATACAACTCTTGGAGCAGCTATTGGACCTTTAACTCACAGTTTTGGATATAACTCCAGAGACAACAGTCTTTTCGGTTCAATCTATATTGTTGGAGGAGTGTTTGGCTCGTTCGCACATGCAATCTTCCTTGATAAATACTCTAGATATAAGATGCAATTCATCATAATTGGCATAACCAACTGAATATCCTTTGCGCTTGTGATATTCCTCATTAGTCAAGGAAGTGTGGTGCTCACAGCATGCCTCCTGTTCATCATGGGCTTTAGCCAGTTGCCAGTGATTGGTGTAGCTTACGCATTTGTTGCAGAAATGACATATCCAATAGACGAAGCTCTCTCTTGAGGAATGATACATTTGCTAGGCTCAATAATTGCAACAGCGTTTGCATTCATGGCGACTTCATTCATTGATAATAATAAAACAAATTTGGCTTTATACATCTTATTAGGTCTCTGAGTTTTGGGACTATTTTGAAAATTCTTTATAAAAGAGATTCTCAAGAAGAAAAGAGCAGGAATTAGGGGTACTATTTTGTCATTTCATTTTGGAAATACTAGTTTCCCAAATTCATATCGGAATACTATCCGTTCCGAAAAAGTGAAAGCGGAACAATAAGCTTTAAATTGATTCATGCTCATCGGTATGTAAAGAGACCAACTGATTAGAGAATAACTATGTGGAAAGACTAATCTTCCAGCTATATGTTCTCTCAAACTGACTGCAATCTCTTATTCAAACCTGAAGAGACCAACGGATAAGAATAATATGGTTATCAAATGAGCTCAATTAAGCCCATTTCAAAAGGGGTTTTGGGGTTTTGGGGTTTTGGGGTTTTGGGGTTTTGGGG